AGAAGTGCACCTTTGGCGTCCAAGGAGGCAAATTCTTGGGCTACATGGTAAGCCGAAGGGGTATTGAGGCCAATCCCGAGAAGATCCAGGCCATCATCAACATGGAGCCCCCACGCAACGTGAAGGAAGTTCAACGGTTGACGGGCCGCCTGGCAGCCCTCAACCGTTTTCTATCTAAATCAGCGGAGAAGTCTCTACCCTTCTTCCAGATCATGAGGAAGACGGCTGGCTTTCTATGGACTCCAGAATGCCAGGGGGCTTTCGACGAGCTCAAACGATATCTATCTTCACCTCTGTGCTCTCCAAACCCAAGGTAGGGGAGACCCTCTACCTCTACCTTGGGGTTAGCCCGGCGGCCATCAGCTCTGTGCTCATCCGGGAGGAAGACGGCATCCAACATGCCATCTTCTACGTTAGCAAGACCCTAAGGGAGGCCGAGCTCAGGTACTCCCCTGTGGAAAAAACGGTGTTGGCCATCGTTTGGACTGTCAAGAAGTTGGGCCACTACTTTCAGGCTCACCCGGTTCAGGTCCTCACCCACCAACCCCTCGGCGCCCTCATGAGGAGCCCCACCAGCTCCTCCCGCATGGTGAAATGGGCTATCTTCTTGAGCCAGTACAACATTGACATCCGCCCAAGGCCTGCCATCAAAGGCCAAGCCCTGGCGGACTTTGTGACGGAGTGTACCGCAAGGGCAGCCACGGACGGGGAGCCCTCGGCTACCTCGGACGACTGGTGGACCCTCTACACTGACGGCTCCTCCGCGACCAAAGCATGCGGGGGAGGGGTAGTCCTCATTACTCCCGAGGGCTTCAGGGCCTACTATGCAATCCGCTTCTCCTTCAAGGTCTCCAACAATGAGGCCGAATATGAGGCCCTCCTATGTGGCCTTCGGCTGGCTGCCAACATGAGGGCTCGGCAGATCCACATCAAATGCGACTCCAAGTTGGTCGTTGGCCAAATCTCCGAAGAATATGAGGCCAAGGAGGGGAGAATGAAACAGTAAAAGGAAGCGGCCAAGGAGTTGCTTAAGGTATTTGAGGCACACTCTCTCACTCAAATACCGAGGGCTCAGAACTCCGAGGCCGACATATTATCTAAGCTCTCGGCCGACTCCCCCGAGCACATCTCCAAAATTGCCAAGATCGATGAACTCAGCCTCTCAAGCATCCATGCAAGCCCCGTTATGAACATACAACAACGTCAGGAGGATTGGATCTCAGATATCACCACCTTCATCTCCACAGGGCAGCTACCCGAGAATGAGGCCCACGCTAAACTGACAAAGTTGAGGGCTCCCAGCTACACCATCGAAGATGGAAGGCTCTACAAACGATCTTACAATGGCACGCTACTTCGGTGCCTTCATCCAGATGAAGCCGAGGTCGCAATGGAGGAAGTACACAGTGGCACTTGCTCAGCTCACCAAGGACCCTTCTCCATGTCCCGAAGGCTCATTCTCCAGGGCTACTTCTGGCCAACCATGGCCAGGGATTGTGCTGACCTTGCCCGGAGGTTCACCGCATGTCAACATTTCCAGAAAGCTCCCGGCAGGCCAGCGGTCAACTATGCCCCCATCAGCACCTCTGTCCCATTTTCTCGATGGGGGATAGACCTTGTGGGCCCTCTGCCGAGGGGTACCTCCAACAACAGATACATCATTGTGGCCGTCGACTATTTTACCAAGTGGGTGGAGGCTGAACCCCTCGCCAGCATCACAGAGGCGAAGTGCCGCCACTTCGTCCTCAAGAACATCCTCACAAGGTTTGGCGTCCCCCAGCAGATCATCTCCGACAATGGGACACAATTTGAGGCAGCCCCCTTTTGTGCCCTTCTGGAGGCATGGGGCATCAAACACACCTTCTGCTCCGTTGCCTACCCTCAAGGCAACGGGCAAGTAGAGAACGCCAACCGGACCTTGCTCGAGGGCCTCAAAAAGAAGCTGGAGGCCGAGGGTGGTGGCTGGGTGGAAGAACTCCACAATATCCTTTGGGCCTATCGCACCACCCCTCGGCGAGCAACAGGTGAAACACCCTTCTCCCTCTGCTACGGTTTTGAAGCCAAAGCTCCTACGGAAGTCACCCTTCCCACCCGAAGGGTGATCCAATATGACCCCGAGGTCAACGACAACAACATGGCCCTCGACCTCCACCTCATTTCAGAACACCGGGAGCAGGCCTTCATCCGGGCAGAAAACTACCGAAGGCAAGTTAAAAGCTACATCGACGCCAAAGTTCGAACCCGAGAATTTCAAGTGGGGGACTATGTCCTCCGGAGGAGGGAAGCCAACCAACCAACCGAGGGAGGAAAAATGGCACCAAAATTCGAAGGCCCCTACATCATAGCAGCCATCATCAAACCCGGGACCTACAAGCTCAAACGCCCCAATGGGAAAGAAGTCCCTAGGCACTGGAATGTACACCATTTAGTTAAATTTTATCAATAATGTAAGAGCGGCCAAGCCCTCATAACTAGTGAATGTACTATCCTATGGCCCAAGGCCTCCAATTTCGAAGAATGAAGATACATTCAAGACATCAAGCCCTCATACTGACTACAGGCCCCAGGCCTCACCACGAGAAGAACCCCCTCCGGCACCAAGTGCCGAGGGCGGACACCATCAACACCTACAATAGACAGTGAAAACACCACGTGTTTTCAGTCAAGACCCCTCGGTACCAAGTACCAAGGGAGGGAACTCCTAATCACCAACAACAAGGAACGCCATGTGTTTCATTTCCCTTCGGCACCCAGTGCCGAGGGTACATCCCCACCTTCAACATCAAAAACGAAAAGATGAGAGCACCAAGTGTTCCTACAGAAGACCCTTCGGCACCCAGTGCCGAGGGTACACCTCCATCATCAAACATCGAAACGAAGAAAAAACACCAAATGTTTCAAAGAAGACCCCTCGGCACCCAGTGCCAGGGATATGCTCTCCTATCAACTTCCAAACATCTGTTGCGAATCACCAAGTGTTTCATTTGAAGACCCTTCGGTACCAAGTACCGAGGGTAGACGCCTACATCAACTACGACAAAAGAGAACACCAAGTGTTCCTACAGAAGACCCCTCGGTACCAAGAACCGGGGGCTACACATCGAAACTAACACCAAGTGTTGTTTCTAAAAGCCGTACCCCACGAGGACGCATATACCGAAGGCGCCACCATCGGTGCCGGCGCACGTAGTGCCCCCGGCCATTTGCAACTAGTGTGCAAATGAAAACCCTTCCTTGAAACGCTTTCCGCGTCACTACCCCCAGGGTATGACAGGCATGAGAAATGCCCAGGATTCGACTTTCAAAAACGGAACGCTATCCGCGTCACTACCCCCAGGGTATGACAGGCATGAGAAATGCCCATGATTCGACTTCCAAACCGAAACGCTCCCCGCGCCACCACCCCAAGGGTGTGGCAGGCCACGGACTATGTCTAGCACCGAGGGGACGACTTTCAAAAATGAGGCGCTTTCCGCGCCATCCCCCAAGGGGAGGCAGGTTACGGACCACCATATCTTGTGCCCAGGAAACGTCCCTCGATCCCCTCGGAACTCGGAAGGTTAACCCGAGGGAGGAGAGCCATTGGTGTATTCTGATGGTCTCTTAATAGGCCCAGCCTTACCAAGAAACCAAGTTTCTTGATGCCTTCCCTTCACCACCAACCAAAAAAAAGGGGGGGGGGGGGTGAAGGGGAGTAGACTCAGCGAGAAATCAAAGAGTACACTCCAACAGATCACAACAAGCCGAGGGCTCCCCACGGGAACACCTCCGGTAATTGGAGGCTCCTATTTCCTGAAGGATACTACTCGAACAGATAGCATCAAGAAACGGCTAAGGCCACTGCATGATCACCTCCGGTCACACAAACACCGAAGGCTTCAACAATACAAAGGAACTGGACTATCCAAAGTACACTAAGACGGTACCTTCAAACATATACCGAAGGCCTCTGTTACGCACTAGTACCGAGGGCCCTTTCCCCATGACAAGGGTCAGCTTCTACAACTTTTAAAGCGTATGCCGAGGGCACACACTCCTCATTGGCTTTCTTCACAGCAAAAGGATCCAACATCAATCTATGCTTAGAAAAAATTCTAAGTCCTGAATGAGCAGCCCCCGGGCATCTCGCAAAATAATGTAGAGTCAGAAGCCACCTATCACCCGAAGGCTCTACATCCGGAAGCTTGACATCACTTTACACTTGCGAAAAAATTCTAAGTCCTAAAGATGGCCCCCCGACTCAGTCAGTATTATAGCCAAAGGAATATGACAGTTGAAGGCTATACATCAAGAAGGGATGCCATCTCTCGAAGGCTCCCAAGGGAAAATCCACACTTAGAATATTTTCTAAGTCCCACATATTTCCCCCCCGGTCAACTACTCATACATCATGGAGGGTGCCATCTCCCGAAGGCTCCCAAGAAAAACTGCACTTAGAAATCTTTCTAAGTCCCACATATTTCACCCTCAACTTATAAAGGGACCCAATAGCCGAAGGCTACCTATCAATCGAAGGCTACAATACACAAGGAATCAACACTGAAGAGAATTTTCTAAGTCCTAAAGAATTGGCCCCCGGCCTAATCAATATTTCAGTTGGGGCTCCACAGTAGCCGAAGGCTACATGACATACTACACTTGCAAAAAATCTCTAAGTCCTGTGCATTGGGCCCTCGGTCCAACATTCACGCATCAGGAAGGGATGCCATATCCCGAAGGCCCTCAAGGGGAAATCTACACTTAGAAAATTTTCTAAGTCCTAGGATTCGGGTTACTACAAACGCCCGAAGGCCTCATGCTGTGCTACACTTAGAAAAAATTTCTAAGTCCTAATTGCTGCTGAACCCTCGGTTGCATATCCATCAGAGGGCGCCCAGCTACCGAAGGCTTCCGGGGGCAAGCCACAATCAGAAAACATTCTAAGTCCTAAAACATACATTCAAGAAGTAGAAGGCATACATTCAAAACATAAGGCGCATTCAAATGTAAAGAGCCCGGGGGCAGCATGCATTCATCAAAAACAAAGTAAGTGTGAAATTTACAAACAGGCCGAAGCCGAAGGATCAATGTTGTTCATTACAAAATATGTTCAAGGATTTCTAAGTACAAAGTCACTCTACAACTACAACAGCATCATTCACCGGGGTGCCCTCTGCAGCCGGCCTCGATGATGCCTCCGCTCCGGCCTCGACAGCGTCGTCCTCGGCCTCATTCTTCAACTCCGTGTCCTCAAGGTCGGGCCTCTGAACACCTTCCGGGAGCGACTCACGGACATCAGGCTGCAGGGGAGGAAGGCCATACGCCGAGGGGGAGAAATCCTTTTGCTCAATGCCCAAATGCCGAGCCATCCTCCGGTAAATGAGGGCCTGGGTGAAGAATTCGCCGGCCTCATAATATTCTCTGCCCTTCCAGGCCATCCATTCCCACCCGGGGCCCTCGGCCCATTCCTCGACGTATGCCTCCACGACCGAGGACAGCCACATCTTGCGTCCCTCGGCCCTCCAGCCCTCGGCGACGAAGGCATCAACGGCTTCCTCCCGAGCCTTGGCGACGGCTAGCGCCTTGGAGCCCTCGGCCTCTTTCGCAGCTCTCTTGGCCTCCTCAGCAGCGGCCTCAGCATCGGCCTTGCCCTTCTCTGCAGCCTCCAATCTCAGCTCCATTTGCCGAAGCTCCTCTTCCAGCCTGGCCCCCAGCTTCACCGCCTCCTTAGTTTTGAGGATGCATTCCTTCATCTTGGCGTCCTGCTCTGCCTTATGGAGGCGCCATTCTTGAAGCCTCCGGGCATGTTCACCGAGGGCTAGACAAGCCTGCAGACCAACAACCAAAACGGTTAAAGGCAATTGCACAATATAATCAAAGGAGAAAAGGAAGAAAGCCGAGTAAACACTTACAGAAAGGGAGGAGCGGAGAATGTGGTCCTCGAGGGCCGCATCGTTATAGGCCCCGAGGGCAGCCCTATCAGTCTCAGGGGTTATGCCCCTCAAGATGGCCCCCGGGTCAACAGCGCCGCTGGCCAGGGATGTCCCCGCCGGCGTTTCACCCGATGGCTTCTCCACATGCACTCCGGAGGCAGGGTGCTCATCAGCAATGATGACCGGGGGCTCCTTCTCGGCGATATCCCCCTTCTTCGGCTTTTTGGTAGCCGGGGGGGACCCCTTGGTCGCCGCCTTCCTCTTGCCGGCAGCAGCATCGCCCTCGGCTTTCTTGAAGAGGGCAGTGGCGGGCTTCTGGCTGCCCTGTCCCGACCCCTTCGGGTCCTGTTTCTTCAGGCGAGCGAGGCCCTTCACGTGCATCATGGAGACGGGGATACCTGCAAAAAATATGACAAAGGGTTAGGCCGACGGGTCTAAGCGAAGGGACAATGACATCCAAGCAAAAAGAAAACTAAGTACATAATTCTAAAGCCCTCAGCTACTACCTCCGGAGGCTCCCTCAAACACTGGGAACTTCTCATCAGTTTCCCCCAGGAACCGGTACCGCCGGAACCCGAGGGTGTAGAGATCTGCTTCTTTGGTGCAATCCTTGATGGAGATATTCTTGTCCCGGCCCTCCGGGATCATGGCCAGAATCCTGCCATCTTTCTCGAGGGCGGCGCTCCTCCTCTTCTCGTGCCTCCTGAAGCGGTCACGCAGCTCCCTCGTGAAGGGACTCTCGGCTAGCTTCACATAGCACCACCGGTCCTTCCACCCCTTGTTCGAGGAGGGCGCCTCAGTGAAGAGTTTGAACACGGACACCTGCTGCAGATTGGCGAATCCCTCGGCATTCGCGTGCCCCCCCGGCACAGGTTGAAGCTCTGGAAGAAGAGGTCCAGGCTAGGCGTCACCCCCCGGGACTTACAAAGCTGAAGGAAGCCAGTGATATAAGAATGGCTGTTCGGGGTCAGCTGGCAGGGAACCAGACCGACGAACCGAAGATACTATCGGAGGAAGGGGTGCAGGGGGAAGCGGAGCCCCATGGATACTGAGAGGACGTGCACCGCAATGCAGCCCTCGAGAGCCCGGGAGAGAACGTCATCCGGACCCGGTGTCACCACGATGGCCGAGGGGCCCACGTGAAGCTGGGTGACATAGATGTCCGCCGCATCAACCTTCGACTTGATCTCCAATGCGGCGGTGTTGAGATAGGAGTACCCCTCGGGCATATCGAGGGGCTTCCCTTGATCTGCTACGCTGCCCTTCTTCTTGGGAACAGCGGCCTTGGCCTTCTTCTTTCCGGGGGCCACCCGGAGGGCGACCGCATTCAGCGGCCGAGAGGTGCTGGCCTCCCCGGCACCCCGAGGGGGGAGCACAGCAACGGTGACCCTCTCGCTTTCTCTTTGTGCCTCCTCTTCAGCTGCTTGCCAGGCGATGGCCAACTCTTCGTCCTCACATTCTTGCTCAAAGCCCTCGGCCTCCGCCTCAGCTACGAGGGCTTTCTGCAACTCCAGGGCAACGACGGCATCCTGTCCCACCGAGGACTCTGCACTTGAGGACTCCACGTCCGAGAGGACTTCATCCTCCACCGAGGGCGCCCCCGAGATATCTTGAGAATCACTCTGGGACGACATGCTGACTCTAGTTCGAAGGCTCGTAGACGCTAGTGTTTTCTAAATTTTCTATCTCCTAACCTAAGGGCACAGTACAGGTAGCTAAGAAGTGAAGGGAAAGCGGGCACTGACCTTGAAAGCAGAAGTTTTGACCGAAGGCCTGAGTTTCTCTCACTAGAATTTTGGGCAGAGCTTCGCTAAGATAAATGATCGCACAAGGGGAAATGGCTCTGGCCTTGGGGTATTTATAGGCGCCGGAATCCGGGCTTGGGCCCGGAAACCGGGCCTCCGGACGGACCGTCATCATTACACACCGTCGTTTCACCCAACCGGTGACGCCGCCCACGAACAGCCAGCCATCACACGCCACGTGTGCCACCCCCCCAACAGCTATATCCTGTCGTTACATATTCCAACGGCTATATTTCCAACGGCTATATTCTGGAAGCCCCCGGGTTTTCTACTTCACTCCTCTTCATCAAGGATAGCCTCCGGGTACACTCACTCAGAAGTGCCCCCGGGTTGTGCCCCGCACAACACACAACATCCGCCTTCGGGATCACTCCTTCAGAAACCCGAGGCTTCATATCAGGGCACCCCTCGGGGTTTTCCCCCTCAGCACTGCAAAACCGGGTAGCCCCCGGGGAGTGCCTCATTGACGGATGGCCCATGGCACACAGGTAATGGGAGCCCTCGGGTATCTTCATCACCAACTAATCAACAAACAGTGGACCCCCCGGAAACAACTCCATTGTCGCCCTCATCCAGCAGGCCCTCGATCTCCGAATTGAGGGCCTCCCCTTCGGCGCCACCAGGACATCAACAGCAAGCCTTCGGCTAATCAATACAGGAGCCCTCAGAAGAGAGAGCCTTCGGCATTCCCGTCATTCTCCACTTTATACCAAGGTTTGACATTTTCGATTCATCATTGGGGGAATTCGGTGCACTCTTTTTCCCTCATTAGGATTTTTTCCCAAAGGGTTTTTCCTAATGAGGTTTTTAACGAGGCATCCCCCCAAAATGAAACGAAAAAACGACAGCCTTCGGCCCACAACAGCAACGCAACTACTCTACTCCTTTTCACCACTTTACAAGTGCCTCAAGGAGTGGGGGACTGGAGGACCCCCTCGGGAAAATCATTAAATTACAAAAGATGTAGAAACTCCAACAAACAACAAAGCAAGCCCTCAAGTCCCGACATGTGGGTAACTGAGGGACTGCCTTCGGCAGGGACATAAAAGCAACAACTCCTCACCAACTTCAGAGATCACGACGGGACAACATCAAAGGGCAAGCACAAATTACTCCTTTTCCCTCAAGTACCTTTCGGTAAAAGGAGTGAGGGACTCCTGATGGAGTATATGGCCCGGGAACCCCCGGCCCACAGACTCCTACTACTCCATCGAAGGCCCAACAGGCCCAACAGGCCCAAATCACAGCGCCCAGAGTACCAAGCAGTCCGCACAACGCGCCAGGGGTGCCTTCGCCCCCCTGGCCGAAGGCTCCAAATTCTCACAGAACGGGTTTCTCAAGCAAATTAAGAAACTGGGAGAAAACGGCGAAAATAGTAGCCCTCGGCACTGTGAGCCCTCGGCACCAGGGTGCCATCAGGTGGAAGAGCCCTCGGCTACTGCTCTATAGCCGAAGGCATCTCACTCGACAAGATATCCGCCTCACATGCGTACAGATCACCGTACCCCGCACAGACGTCCCATCCAACAGCCGCATTAAATGCGGCCACATGCGGCTGCCAGCGCCAACCAGTTGAGGTGACCCCTCGGCCAATAAGCGCTTGACACGTGTCCCTGCCCGGCATTTATTGCTACTATAAATAGCACCCCATTTCCTCATTTGTAACCACGCTGAAAACGGCATTCATACTGAATACACTCTCTCTCTACTTTTACTTACTTGCTCTGACTTCTCTCTAAGTTATTCCCCGTAATAACCCTTCGGATATATACCCCCGGGTAGACTATCCATTATTATTATTATTATTATTATTATTGTTATTGTTATTATTGTTATTATTATTAGTAGTATTATTACTATTATTACTATTATTATTATTATTATTATTATTATTATTATTATTAGTATTATTTTTATTATTGTTATTATTAGTAGTGGTATTATTACTATTATTACTATTAATACTATTACTACTACTACTACTACTATTATTATTATTATAACTAGTAGTAGTGTTATTGTTGTTATTATTAGTACACTTACTATTTTATTATTGTTTGGTTTAGTCTGTTCGTATTTTAAGTCATACAAGTGACAGAATAATATAGATGATCTTGATTTGTAAAAAAATTGTATGAATAATGGGTAAACTATAAATCTTTTTAGAACAAAAAAAGTACTATAAAATAGTAAATATCATCATGCATCCGTTGCTCTGGGTTTCTGAACGTCTTCCCAAATTTGTTTTGCAATTTCCTCGCGAACATTGTTCATAGCTTCTTTTCGTCCATTGTTGAACATATCCGAATCAACCATGCCTTCTCCATTCCCATCATGTTCATAAATTGGCATTCCCATTTTGCACATGCTGATAAAATTATGAAGTGTAAAAGTAGAGAAAATAATTGTTTGTTGATGCTCTTCTTTCATTTTGGGCATATTGTGAAGTATCTTCCATCTTTTCTTCAGATGCGAAAATGCTCTTTCAATGGTAGTTCTCAGTGATGAGTGGTGATAATTAAAATGTTCCATTACTCCTCTTGGTTTACCACCGTCACGAAATTCTGGCACGTGTTTCCTCATTCCCGCATCATCAAATGGAGCTAAATATCCAAGTGTGTTTGGATATCCTGAATCTACTAAGTAATATTTACCTACATTTTCAATTGACTTTGTTAAAAGGATATTATTTTATATTTACAAAAACCTTTAATAATAAATTTATTTGTATTTTATACCTGGTGGGGGTGAGGAAAATGATATTGTGATTGCATTAAGGAATCAACTCACACTCTTACGTCGTGAGCGCTTCCTTCCCAGCCAATATTGACAAACGTGAATAGTTTATCAAATGAACAACATGCTAAGACATTCCAGGTTTTGACTCCTTTGCGTCCTCGAAACGGCACCCCCTTTGCATCTGATATAACTGCTTCTATGTGAGTACCATCTAATGCTCCAACTGAATCCTAATACAATAAATAAAAAACATAAATAAAGTCTAACAGATATACAAAACTAAATTAGTTTTCATTGACTTTTTAAAACGTTGAATAATTCATAAATATACCTTGAAATACGGCCAATAGAAGGAACTGTTGAAAACTATGGTGTGGACGTCCAACAAATTGTGATGTGGTCGAATTATGTCAAAAGATAACTCAACCAAGGCATGCAATACTAGATTGAAATATTTGCATATGGTTCTCAAAGAATGCTTAAAAACATCAGTTGCATCTGTGTAAGAAGCTCCCTTGACCAATATATAGAGACCAATTCCAATTTGCTCTGCCACATGAATGAACCTGCTATCTTTCAATAAATTTCTTTCAACCATAATATTCACAAGGTGGATGAACATTTCTCTCGTCAACCTTAATTGCTCTTTACACAATCCAGGATGACCATTCAACATTCTATGTATATATTCACCTCCCGTTTCTCCACCTACTCTCATTGGTATCCTAGTCTTCTTTTGTTCATCATCTTCTAGTAATGATCTGAGCTCTTCTAATGCAATAATTAGACATGACCGTCTAACTTCAACATTCATTCTACACATATAAAATAATGAATTCCAATGCACATTAAAACAAATGGTAAACACATGTTATAACAACGATAACACGATATGTTTGTAAAAGATAACAATCCACATAATTTTAGTTCAAACAAACATATAAAAAGTTCAAAACGAATAGACAAAACTTTAGCATGCTGAAAATAAATAATCTTAAGTTCAAAACGCCATATATCAATCTTGATTGCCGTAAGGAACTCCTTTCTGTAGAAACATCCACCTCTGATTTTCAGATCGAAGTGTCACAAAGACCTCACCCTTATTACCTTCACTTAAGAAGGTCATTGCATCCACATAATATTGATCACCGTATTTCTTGTCAACCTCCATCTCATCAAGAAGTTTAGCCACCTTTTCGATCACAGATTGCTCTTTTACTGAAGCAAGCTTCACAATTTCTAAACATCTATCTATTTTCCCTCGCTTTCGTGCTAAGCTTTCACCGACGTTGTTTTTTCCCTTTCGCTTCTTAGTTGTTGCGGATGATTGATCTACCATAATAGGTGAATCACTTTGTTCACCATAAACTGTATCATGACTTTCATTTTCATCCGGACTACCGGTATCAAAAGATTCTTCGGTGTTTATGTTCTGAGTCTTTTCGACCGCGACATTACTATTGAGAATGGGTGTTGTCCTAGCACTAGCAGGTGAGCTACCTCGTACACCATGTGCAGTTTGTCCTTGGAATAAAGCTTCTAGGTACTGAAGATATGGCATCTGCTTCTTAGCAACTGTAGCTCCATGTCGCTTATGTTTCTAAAAGATATATTTATATTTATATTTTATAATACAATTAAATAATATTAGTAAATGACTTTTATTTAGAGAATAGAATTTGAAATTAAAGAAAAACGTAAGTGCATTTTTACCTGTTGATATGCTTTCCATCTATCTAATGAACGTTCTTCTACTTGAACTTCACCCGTAACTGGATCAAAATTTATGCGAGTGCAATTTTGAAGGTCGACCCATGCTTTGTATTTATCTTTCAACTCACTAAAGTGATTTCGCGCTTTCTTACAATCAAAAAGAGTACCCGTTTGTACATGAAGGTTGTTAACAATTTTATTCCAATCATATTTAGTATTTCCTTTTGCTTTTTCTTCAGCACAAATCTTCAAAAATGTAGTTGTGGTGGTGTCATTCCAAGGTGTCCTCCTTGACATTGTCTATAATTGATAGTAAAATAATACATAATTATAACTTCATAATTAATTGAAGTGAAGTACTTATATATGACAATATTTTTATTTATGTCTACATATATATATATATATATATATATATATATATATATATATATATATATATATATATACATACATACATACATACATACATATATATATACATATATACCAAACAGTAGTACAATACTAATTACTTTTCAAAAACTATTTGACTTTGTGTAAAACATTAACAATTCCTCACATTAAATACGACATTAAATTCAAAGAATTCAACAAAATATTAAATACAATTTTTTTTTGAGAAATATTAAATACAAAGTTAATATACAAGGTTGGATGATTTTAAACCCACGTACCCACGTACTATGACAATAAAATTAAGATAAATTGAATACAAATGTCATATTCAGAGAAAAAGCACGACACTATATAAGTTTGCAATATTCAAAAGAATAAGGGGGTGTATTGTATATGGATTGTGATAGACTTTTTTTAATCCATGAACTTTTAAAAAAGTCCACCGATTTTAAGTGAATGACTTTTAAGTGAATGACTTTTAAAAAGTCTATGGATTTCTATTGATTTATAGGGATTTCTATAAATCCATAGACTTTTATATGAATTAAATTTGCAGACTTCAAAAATATAAAAGTTACGCAACAATTATATTAACTAGCTTTCTTCAATCATAAATGAGGTCCAGTACTAGCGTGATACGAAATAATAATAAAAATTACCAATGAGGTCCAATCCGTTAACACGAAAAATTGAAACAATATTTTCTTCTATTTGAACAAGATATCGGAAGTTATTCATAAAACAACATTGCTCACACAAAAAATCTCCATATTCTCGGTTGGAAGAAGTTTCAATATGGGAGAGGCAAACATTATAATAAGCAGCCGAACATTATAATAAGCAGCAAACAAGAAGTGCTCTTTTATGTCAAGGAAATCCTTGACCAATTCAATAAACAGCAAATACGAAGTGCTCTTTTAGAATAGGTACGTGTAACGTCAAACTTAAACCACACAATATGTATAATAATCAAAAGATTAATTAAGATTCGAAGAAAAAAGTAATGTGCAGAAATAAGGTTTATAGGTGCAGAGGAAAATCAACAAAAACATATGGAGAAGAAATCCAAAAAAAAAGTAACATACCTCGGACAAAGTTCTTGGCGAGCTGGGCGAGAACAGGAAGAGGCGAGTTCTGTTTTTAGGATGTTTTATATATATGTGTGACTATACTGGGCCAATTCCCTAATTTTATCTTTTGTCCTGTTTTTATTTGGACTAGTTCAGTGTAGTCTGATATGGTCTGATCTAGTTTAAGTTGTTCTGTATTTAGGATGTTTTTACTTGGACTGTAATTTGTTGGTCTGGTCTGGTCTGGTCTGATCTGATCTGATCTGGTCTGGTCTGCTTCGATCTGGTCTGATTTGCTTCAGTCCAAGTACAACGATAACAATTTTCGATAATTTGGAAGGAATATTATTATTTTTAATTATAAATGAATAAAATATAATTATTTATGGATTAATATATATATATATATATATATATATATATATATATATATATGTGTGTGTGTGTGTGTGTTGGGATATTGACCTAGAGGCCCAATACCCAGATCGGGAAGGCCCAAGATATCCGGCCCAAGCAACGGGCCCATCACTCTATGATGAATAGATCCGGTAAGAAGACATACCGAACGGAGTTCGGCCCAAATAAAGGTTGGCCCAGTAAGAAGACATACCGAACGAGGTTCGGGCTATATATCATACTTGGGCCAATTTGACAGCATCTTCAGTACAGCCCAACATCACGTTCGAGCAACGGCCAACCAGCAAGTGGCCAGGCGCAATTAATGCCAAACTATGACATCAGCAAGTGGAAGCATGGATGACCAAGTCGGTGGAACAACGGCCAATCAGCATGAGGCAGCCCATGCTCTCCATTAGTATAAATAGAAGGTTTCAAGTCATTGTAAGGGTTAGCATTTCAATACTCAAGCTCTAGAATAGCATCATTTGCTCTTATTTCTTGTATTAAAGCATAGTTTCCGACTTACCGATCGGGAAATTCCTTGTAATCAGATTGGTTAATTAATACAAGTGAGCTTTCGAGTTTTAGTTAGTTCAGATCTTATATTTTTTACACGCTTTGATTCTGGGCCATTCCTGATATATCCAAAGTTCGTGTTGGGCTTTCGGATCTACGGGATTTACCCTCAACATTGGCGCCGTCAGTGGGAACATTGCAAAAAGTTTCACTTTCTAATCATCCAAAAGAACCTCTATTTTTAAAAAATGGTCAGAATCAGTTCCTATCATACAAGCGACGGTTCACGCCGTCACGGGAGGAGTCACACCCCGGGGAGTCAAAACCCTCTGGGATAATCCAGTCGAGGACCGAATCCTCGTTTCGATGGGGATTTTGTGATTCCTGAATCTCTGAGAAGAAATCCTCAGGCCATGCGGGACATGGCCCAGGTCATGCAGCATATGGCGAACGAAGAGGAAGGAAGTTCCAGCTTTACAGGGGAGACCCCACACACGGAAACAACCGCGGCGTCATCCCGTTCACATGTCCATCGGGATAATCGACGTAGCGCCCCACCAATAGCGCACCACAGTCCCAGTGACCGAACCCCGGTCGGGTCACAAGCTAGAGAGGACCAACTCCCGTTGGTCATCATTTCCAGTATGCCGAGCGGGAAAATACTAGGGCCCCTCAGCGGTATTGGGACCGGGACTGTATGGATATGAGGGCTCCACCACCGCCCCCTTTGACGGCCCAGGAGGAAGAAATGGCCGAGATGAGGAGGCAAATGAATGAAATGCGGGACCAGATGAACATGGTACTTGTACAACCCGCACCAGTTCAGCTGGGAATTACTTCCCCGTTTACTAGGGAGCTCATGTACGCGGATATCCAAGGGGGTGCCAAGCCCCCGACCGGCCAAATTTACGAGGGGATGGGAGATCCCCACGTACATCTGAGGAGTTACCAAGGGGGACTTATGCTGCTAGGAGCACCCGAGGCTGCCATTTGCCGGTTGTTTTTCAGCACGCTCAGGGGGCCTGCCCAGGAGTGGTTCAGGATACTGCAGCCCGGATCAATCAACAGCTTTGCCGAGTTATCAGCGTTATTCTTGGCTCAGTTTGCTTCCAGTGCCAATCCCAAACGGCACTTCAGCTATTTGACCAGCGTGAAGCAAAACGCCAAGGAGACCCTCAATCAATTCCTGAAAAGGTGGAGGGATGAAACTTTAACGGTGGGAAACATGACGGATGATACCGCCATTACCCTATTCACAAATGCTCTCCGAACGGGGGAGTTGTACAAAGAGTTGAAGAAAAATCTGGGTACGGTATACGCCGAGGTGTTAGATAGGGCTCGCAAGCATGCCGCCCTAGAAGAGGAGATAATGATCAGGGATAAGGTCATTACACCTGCTGCTCCGATCAGAATGGCCGATCGGCTGGGTCCTAGCCCAGCGGCCACTTTACCTCCCAAACATGGGAGATTTACACCCCTGGTCCTATCCATAGCGACCATCTATCAGCACGAGAGGGACAATATTCCCATCCCGACTGATTCTGGACAGTTCATGGGAACGAATGACAATGCTTTCTGTAAATATCACAACAGAAAGGGTCATGCCACCAATGCCTGCAGGGCCCTACAAACAGCCATTGAGGATCTGATCCGAAGGGGCCATCTGGGCAAGTATGTGAACAAAGATCCGAATGCTATGGGCACGTTGAAACCGGCCAGGAAACCTAATAGCTGGCGCCGGGATGCTCAACGTGACGCCCAGCCTCAAAATGATGTGTATGTTCCCCCCAGGGATGAGCCAGAGGGCTCGGGAGGCCCTGGAAAGAAGCCTCGAATGGAGGTCAAGGTTATATTTGGGGGCGGGGAGACCGGAGATTCGAACGCCAAACGGAAAAGGTTCGAGCGAAGTCTTTATGTGGGATCCGTCTCCACTCCCCCCAGAAGAAAGGAAGGACAGACCCGATCACGTTCGGGCCAGCTGATTTACCCAATTCTCCAAGCCCCCACAGGGATGAACTGGTGGTAAGCATGTGTATTGACAATGCTTTGATCCGCCGAGTACTGGTTGATACCGGGAGCAGTGTGAATGTATTGTATCTACAATCATTCGAGAAAATGGGTCTACAAAGGAGCCAACTGACCCACCTACGGACCCCATTGGCAAGTTTCACCGGTAACTGCATCGAGGCGGAAGGGACCATCCAATTAATGGTTGAAATTGGGGATGAAACCCACAAAGCGTCACTCTGAATGACGTTCGTGGTGGTAGATATAAAGTGTGCCCACAATGCCATATTGGGCCGACCAGGATTGGAAGATCTGGAGGCAATAGCCTCTGTCCGCCACTCATGCATCAAATTCCCTACAGACACTGGGGTAGGGGTGGCCAGAACTGACCCGACCACAGCCCGGACATGTTATCGGGAGGCCCTGAAACAGATGAACACTCATGGGATGCGGGTGAATACAATTGAGGTGGAAACCCACCGAACGGAGTTCGAGGCACACCCAGAGCCCGCCACCCTTCTTGAACAAATCGACCTCGACTTCCCCCCGAACCGTAAGGTGGCTATCGGGGTAGATCTGGAGTCTGATATCCGGGATGGCGTGATCGCCGTCCTCAAAAAGTTTCAGGTGTTGTTTGCCCGGGGGCCAGAAGATATGCCCGACATTGATCCGGAGATAATATGTCACAAACTTGCCGTTCGGTCAGATGCAAAACCAGTCCAACAGAAGAAACGGTATCAAGCAACCGAACGGCGGGAATTCACAAAGAAGGAGGTGGCCACCTTGCTAAGGATAAAGCACATCCGTCCGGTAATCCACGTAGAATGGCTATCCAATGTGGTTCTAGCCCCAAAACAATCTACTTGGAGAATGTGCGTGGATTACTCTGACCTGAATAAAGCGTGCCCCATGGATCCCTATCCAGTGCCGAGGATCGATCTGCTAGTGGATGAAACTGCCGGATGTGAGTTACTGAGCTTCATGGATGCTTTCCGAGGTTATCATCAGATATTCATGCACCCGGCCGATGCAGAGAAAACGGTATTCGTTACTTCGGATGGCGTGTTTTGCTATATCGTCATGCCATTCGGATTAAAGAACGCAATGGCAACTTTCCAGAGGATGATCGGGATGATGTTCAAAGATGTGCTGGGTGTCACAATGGAAGCCTATGTTGATGACATCCTGATAAAAAGCAAAAAGAAGGAAAACCATGTCCTGGATATAGAAAAGGTGTTCGGGATAATGCAAAAAGCGAATATGAGGCTGAATCCCAAGAAATGTGCTTTTGAGGTAAGAGGAGGCAAATTTTTGGGGTACATGATGAGCGAGAAGGGGATTGAGCCCAATCCAGAAAAAGTAAAGGAAATTGTGGACATGGAGGCTCCAAGAAATCTCAAAGAAGTGCAGAGATTGACCGGTCGGTTAGCGGCCCTGAGCAGATTCCTATCTAAACTGGCCGATCGTGCTATCCCGTTCTTCCAGATCATGAAGAAAGCCAACCCTTTTGAATGGACGGCCGAATGCCAAACGGCCTTTGAAGATTTCAAAATGTATCTGTCTTCCCCTCTGGTCTTGACAAAACCCGAACCAGGGGAACACCTGTATATGTACTTGGCTGTAGCTGACCTGGCCGTGAGCACAGTACTGTTGAAAGAAGAGGATGGCATTCAACGGCCAATCTATTTTGTAAGCAAGGCGTTGAACGACCCGGAAACCAGGTACACCTTGCTAGAGAAAAATGTACTGGCCCTGATAGCTGCCATTAACTGTGTATACTACTCAGCCACTAGCCACCATCTTGCGAAATCATATGGCAAGTGGACGCATTACCAAGTGGAGCCTCCTGATCGGGCAATACGAGGTGGATTTCAAACCCCGGCCTACTATCAAAGGGCAGGCCCTGGCAGATTTCATTGCAGAATGTACCGCCCGGCCCTCAGAAAAAGATTCAGAGAACAACGGGCTGGATAACTGGTGGGAAATGTATGTGGATGGTGCATCTAGTGCCAAAGGTTGTGGAGCTGGAGCTGTGATCACATCGCCCGAGGGGTTCAAAGCATATTATTCTATTCATTTTGACTTCAAGGTAACCAACAATGAGGCTGAATATGAGGCTCTC